AATCGGCGCCGCGGCGTCCTGCGCCCGCTGAAGTCTGCCCTCCGCCCCTAGAGACCCAGCCCCCTGCAACGCCCCGCCCCCGACGCTAGCCGCCGACAGGTGTGGGAAAATGTGACGGACCTCGCGGACCATGGAGCGTGTGCACGCGTGAAGGGAGACCTCGATGCCATTCGCGAGCAGACGGGGGGCCTCCAACAAGCCCGCAGGCTGGGTCCGTCCAGCGCCCAATGGAGGGGCCACGGCCGCGCTTACCTTGGCCCCGACACCCGAGGCCAAAGAGTTTCCCTCCTCCATCGGCACGTAGCTGTGGACCCTGTTTCCGGATGAGCCGTGTGCGTGGGAGGGAAGAGGAAGGAAGTGAGGAGGGCGCAGAGGTTCGTACAGTCAGGAGTGTCGGTTTCCTCCAAGGCATAAAACCGAGCCTGTAATCGTAGTGTTGACTACATGCTGCACTTTCTGGCACAACAGAATCCGGCATGAAAGCCCGGGAATTTCGACGCTACCGCTCCTCCCTGTCTCCTTCGGGACCTTCCGCTTTCACTGGCAACTCGATCACGATCCACGACTGCAAGAGACTCTTCCGCAGTCCCCATACCATCCCCAGACTTCTAAACAAATGAGAGTGATTCAACTGCTCCAGCTCTTGCTGTCCATGTTTCTCGGCTTCACCCACACATATACGCGGACAGGCCAGGGACAGCCCGAGGGTGACGGGGCTGAATACATAGCCACACAGGAAGCAGGCCGTACAAGGCCAGTACATCGCCAAGACATTATTGAGTCGCCCGATAGCCTCGATAAAAGCAGATTCACTGAGCACGTTCTCCAGCACGGGGGGGAAAGTTGTGTCGTAGGACGAGCTCACGCCGTTGATAAAGCGAAGGCCAGTTGCGCGCAGCAAGGCCACCTCCTTCCGCGGTCGAGCCAGGGATTCAGGAGGCGCACGTCGCGGTGCATTGAATACCATCTTGTTGCTTGAGTGCCGGGGATATGATGAAGAAACAGGAGAGCAGGAGTGCCGAAACAGGCAGGTAAGAGTCGAGCAAGATTTAGAACGAGGGAGCGAGTACCACGTCACGGCAACATGAAGGGTCAGGAAACTGCTCACTTTTACAAGGCGAAGTGTCAACAAGACGATATTCATGTCCGGTCTGTTAACATTTGTCAAGCGTCGCCATGCGTGCGAGAGATCTAGTGCAGATCGTCAGGCTTTTGCCCACCCTGTATTGCAACCGGATCGAGCACTTCGCCGCCTTTTCGTGGAATTGGATACTCCGTCATATCACACTGCTGGAAAGTGTTGCTAGTGTCCTGAAATTTCACACTCACGAAGACGTGCACACCCCTTAAAACCTCCCCTCACTTGATGTCATTATTCTTGTGTAGCCCTTTGCACGGGCATATCGTCAGCGCAAGCCCTCGAATAAGAGCTGCGCTTATGAGACTCCTTCACGTGAAAGTTTTCCGACTGAAGCCTTGGTCATGGTCTTTAGCTCATCCAGATTTGCATCAACTGTGTCCCTTCAAAGACAGTGGTAACGCACAGGAGACCGGTCTCTGCTTATCTGTGATTGCTTTGTGCGGGGTGCAAGCAAACAGGAGTTTTATCATCCTTACACCGCAACCTTGACCGCTACACCTCTCCCTACGGCTAAATAAACAATTTGAGTGCGCCATACGGACCTACCCTAAGTCATAAATACGCAAATAATGCCGTCAATTAAAATTCTCTTTTTTGCAGCAGCCCGTGAATTAGTGGGCGGTGTGCAGCAGGTGGATGTTGAGATCCAGCCTCGTGCAGATTCCAGTGGCGTGCTGTACTTGAGAGACGTGCGGACCTATCTGGCCAGTGCTTTTCCTGATTTGGACTCAATCATCGCTGATGTCACATTGGCCCTAAATATGCAGTATGTGGGTGTAGAGGCGGAGGGCACATTGTCCCTGCAAGACGGGGACGAAGTCGCCCTAATACCGCCCATCAGCGGCGGTTGAAAGCCTGCTCTGTGTGGATGCCCCGGGCATTCGGACTGAACGTTGCAAATCTGAGACTAGCGGATGTCTGGTGAACGTACTCAACTTCCACCCAAACGTTGTGGTGACACGCCACAGGGTGGAGGCTGGCCCGAGGTGCCGTCAAGCCCTGCTTTGTTGCGCAGGAGGCGACATCGCCGTGTGCGACCCAGCCGTTGAGTCAAAGAGCAGGGTTGCCTCATTCGTGCCTCCTTCCCTTCCCGCAGGCGACGCAGTGGGTCTCTGAGAGAGTCCCGGAGGCGCATGGCCGACAGCCCGGAGGCGAAGGCTGGGGGATCGGGAGTCGACTCCCTCCGTGCCAAGGCGAAGCTGAGGGGACTGCTGGGTAGCGCGCTGCGGGTGACGCTCTCGGACGGGCGGGCGGTGACGGGCCGGTACCAGTGCATGGACGAGCACCTGAACGTGATCCTGCGAGAGGCCTCGGAGCGGCGGGGCATTGGAGCGCGGGCGGGGGTGGGGGCCGGGATGGAGAGCGTGCAGGTGCGGCACCTGGGGCTGGTGATGCTCCCGGGGAAGCACGTGGTGCGGGTGGAGGTGAAGGGGCGGGACCCCTGGAGGTGGCGGGCCCGGGCACGTGAGCGGGCGGGGGCAAGGGGGATAGTGGGGAGGGAGGCGTGTAGGACGTTGCAAAGTAAATGTGCATAAGGGCGCGGTATCTATGCATGGTCTTCGGCAGATCACACTGCCGGCCTCTCGTTTCGCTGCGTGGTTGCTTTCATTTTTCCTTCTGCATGTACAAAGCTTTTCCCCCTTCCTCGCGTCGCCCCTCTCCTCACTCCCACGGGCTGGCCCAGACCAGCCGCTGACCATCCTCACCCCCCCAGCCCCTGCCTCCTTCCTCTCCCTTACCCTGTACAGGCCCGGTCCCGTGCCACCTCTTCCCTCCTCATCAAACCCCAACCCATCCGCGCTCAGCAGGCGCAGCTTCCGGCCTTCTCCGCCCCTTCCCCTTCACCACGCGCCCCCACCGCCACCCGCCCTCCCCCGCGCCCCGCCCTGTGCACGAAGCGGATACCCACACTCTCGTCCGCGGGGTCGATCACCCCCGTTTCGATCTTCTCGTACACTGCCTCAGCCACCCTGACGAAGGCTTCGTCCACGTTCACGCGGGTCTTGGCCGAGGTCTCCGTGAAGAGGAGGCCGTGCTCGCGCGCGAACGCCTCCCCCTCCTCTCGGGAGACGGCGCGCCGGCCCTCGCGGTCGCACTTGTTGCCGACGAGCATGATCACCATCTTCTCTCCGCAGCCACTGGCGTTCTCGCGCAGCTCTGACAGCCATCGCTCTGCGTGCGTAAAGCTGCATGGGGCGGAAGGGATGGGGCGAGTGGATTATTTTGGTGGGTATGGGTGGTAGCCAGCGGATGAGGATGAGGCACGGATGCTACAGAAAACACAGGAAGCGAAGAGGAGGACGCGGCGGGTTTGACAACGATTGAAAAGAGAATCGGTACATTCCAGCAACCTTAGCTCACCTCTCCCGTCGTGTGATGTCGTAGACCAGCAAGGCGCCGATAGCCCCGCGGTAGTAGCTTCGAGTGATGCTCCTGAAGGTCTCCTGCCCCGCCGTGTCCCATATCTGCAGCTTGACCCGCACCTGGTCTTGCACAGTCACCAGCTTGCTCCCGAACTCCACGCCAATCGTACTGTTGTGCAGCGGCAAGAAGCGTTTGTCCGTGAACTGGAGAAGCAGGCAGCTTTTACCCACACTGGTATTGCCAATTACAATCAACTAGAAGGTGGGGTAATACAGGCACGTGAGGAATGTGCGAGTCAAGGCACTGGAGACAGATCCGACTGGGCCACGCAACGTGATGACCATGCAAAGCTCGTGGAATTAGGGAGTTGTTCTAATGACGTCCTGTCAGCAGGTCCGCGGGCAGTGTCCTCGGAGCCTCTCTCGTCGGGAGCGTGGCGCTCCCCGCCTTCTTTCCTTGGCCCTTACCTTTATCAACAAATCATGTGACATGCTTTCTGGGGAAAGCAGGAGACTGCAAAAGGTGTGCACTGCTGAAGGAATGGATAGAGGAGTCGCGGGCGGCTAGTAGACAAGACGCGTGCTAAGTGAGGACGACGACCCCGAGGACTGTGGCTAGCCCTGTTCACACTCGCCGCTTGGTGCTGTAATGACGGGGGACCGTCGCTGTACCTTTCGTGAAGGGTGTCGCGCCGGTGAAATGAAGTGAGCCCGCATTTCGCATGGCAGCAACTGCCATGGGGAGCACGTGTGCTACCGTAGCAGGGAACGAACAGCCGAGCTGGCGAGTGGTGCGTCAGGCGATCCCGGGGGTATGCAGTCGTGAAATGTCCCTTAATGCGTATGCAATGATTACTTCATTATAGTCTCCTCTTGCTCTAGAGTGCATCTACCACAGCGGCTGCCTGATAAGATAACTATCGGCGCTGGTGAAGCTGTCCATTACCTAACAATGCGTCGCAACCTCTCCCCCAAACCCAATATATCAACGCATTTGAAACTAAGACATGACCGACCTTACCAAGACTCCGCTTAAGCCAGAGGAGGATGTGACTGGTCCTTTTTTGCCTAACGACGCTGTCCTCATCCGAGAGCTAAATTTTTCCTACGGGGACCGTCCAGTAAGCTTTAAAGAAGGAGGGCTTGAGGCATGGGGACGCACGTGCGTGGTGGTTCGTCTGCCCGAACACGCTCTTTCGACTGACGTTCGTCACGTCTACGTTTACCCCCAACCCCGATAGGTTTTAAAGGGCATCAATATGCGGCTTAAAAGAGGTAGCCGGTACGTTACTCCTCCATCGTACACGCCTGATGTGTTTGGTGAATTGTGGTAGCATGTACGTCACTCTCTCATCACTCATCGCGACCTAGACATGTTTCTGAGCAATGCTGTTTTAGCATTAATGCGATGCTTCTACTGTAACCTGAATCAGACATCTTCTCGACATTCATGGTATCTAGCTGTCAAAGCCCAACTTTTCCTTCGGAAAGAGACATGGTGGCTTCGTGCCACCTCGACCGCGGGTGCCATCGATCCAATACATCTTGTGTAAATTTATTTGACTTGCCCTGCGCAAGCCATCTGAACATTCATTATCAACATGAAGCTTGCATAATGCTTATATGAGGTCTTTTCCGTGACGCTGCCACTTGAATCGCTCCCCTCTCCCTAATCTCCCTTCGCTTGTCCCCCCCAATCCGTTCTATTTCCAAGATGCCTTCTTATCGGCGCGAACGGAGCGGGGAAAAGCACACTACTCCGTATCCTAGGAGGACGGCACTTGACTAAGCCTGACGACGCGGTGACCGTGATGGGGATGCACGCTTTCCGAGACACCAAGCTGAACCTGATCCGGGCGTACATGGACACGGACTGGGGAATGCGCACGGTCGCCTTCGCGGGCTACGGGGTCCCGCTGCAGGCAGACATCCCCGTCACCGGCATGATGAGTAAGCTGCAGAGCCAGCACCCAGAGAGACGGGATGAGCTCCTGGAGCTTCTGGGAATCGACCCGGAGTGGCGCATGAACAGGGTCTCGGACGGACAGCGCCGACGCGTGCAGCTCTTCTTAGGCCTGGTCCGCCCCTTCGAAATCCTTCTTCTTGACGAAGTAACCGTGTCTCTGGATGTTGTGGTGCGCCAAGACTTGCTGCGCTGGCTACGGCGGGAGACGGAGGTGAGGGGCGCCACGGTGATATACGCTACCCACATCTTCGACGGCCTCGACGACTGGCCTTCGCATCTGCACTTCATGACCAATCAGGGTCGTACCGGGTGGCAGGGGAAGCTGGAAGATCTCGAGCACTACCAAGAGCTCCGCAGGGCCGGCGACCCTGGGCCTCTGCTGCGCATCGCCGAGAGGTGGCTGCGGACAGAGACAGAGGAGCAGAAGCGGCGGAAGTTGCGGGAGAAGGAGCTTGGGACTCAGGTGCTCGACGACAAGCTGTCCCAACCCACACTGTCAGGAGGAGGATTCGCAGCAGGGCGTATGTACGACCATTTCCATGAGGGTGTCTGATCTTGGAGGGCATGGGAAGCAAATAAGGCAAATAAAAATTGGATCGGCAAAGGAGGGAAAGTCCCTTTTGCTGCACTAGGGGATGAAAGTAGAACTTAAACCGAAAATATTGGTGATATTTTATGAAGGAGTGGGAAAGGTAGCCAAAAAGAAACAAAAATCGTACTTTGAATGAGGATTTCCACCCTTTCTGCTAAAACCTGGAGGATGGGCTGGGGCAGGAGGTTAAACATACGCACTCATTGGTCGTGACCCTTTGATTTGCAACTAATGCCACAGTATGGATCTCAACAGGGGAGCCTACTGGTTGTGCACCTCCGCATGCTGGTATCGCTGGGCCATTTGAAAGCGCCGCTGTCCGGGGCGGGCCTCATTACCCTATCCCCTGTCCGCCAAGAGGGCATTGCTCTCCAGGCTCGACTCCCCAATTGTCGTCTTGCCAGCACCACCAGCAGGGGGACAATGTCTGCAATGTCTACAGCTGATGGAAATCTTTCCGATTTTTTTTCTGGCCGGAAAGTCCATCAGTCTGCCCTGGCTTTAATGCCTGACATGGACTCGTCGCTCTTTACGGCCATCCAGTCTATTCGACGCTCTCACGACAAGCATTATAGGCGGTGGCCACCTCACGTCAACATCATCTATCCATTCGTGCCAGAGTATGAATTTGATGTTGCTGCTCGCGTCCTCCAAAAAGCATTGTCCTCCTTCGCGGTCATCGACGATTGTACAATGGCCCGGATGGGCTACTTCGAACACGGGAGATCCTCCTGCACAGCGTGGCTGGCCCCGCAAGAAGCGCGGTTGAGCGATGCAGAGCTTCGACACGAAGAAGAACTTGCCAGCCCAGCACCGCATCCGAGAATTATACAGCTACAGGCTGCTTGCCAAGCTGCGATACCTCACTGCGCCGACCTGACCGCCTCTTTCGGAGGGAGATTTACACCGCACCTGTCCATAGGCCAGTTCCAGGATAGAAAGGGCGCGAAAGATTTCATCGACTCGGTCGACTGGGTTGCAGAGGCCTTCCCAGTGCGTCAGCTGTACCTGCTGGCGAGAAACGGGCCTACGGACCCCTTCAGTGTGCGCTATATCGTCCGCTTGGCCGGCGGCAGCGTGACTAGAGTAGAGCCCGGTACACTCCCACGCCATGCAGGCGCTACCGTCGCCGATCAGGGTTTCTTTCGCCTGAGTGCTGACACAAAGAACGCAACACCTCCTGCCCGCATAAACCCAGCAGAGGTGGAGGTAGACGGGAGCTTGCTAGAGGAGGGGGGCAAGTCCTGCGCACTTCCCTGGCCCTAAGCATCTTACTACGAAAGCGCCTTCGCATCAGCTCCATTCGATCTGGTAGAAGCAAGCCGGGCCTGCAGCCTCAGCATTTGGCCGGTGTCAGGCTGGTCGCCGAGATCGGTAGGAGCAGCGTGGAGGGTGCCAACCTGGGCAGCATGGAGGTCTGTGTCCACCCTCCTCTTTCTCCCTCCCTCGATGCGTCTCCGTCGCCCCAGCGTCATTTTAAGGCGGACCCTGGCACCGCCGGCAGCGTAACGCTGTTGCTGCAAGCTGCGCTACCCCTGCTCGCCTTCCAAGCCCCCGCCCAGTCCGCACGCCCCGGTCCCCGCCCCGGCGCCGAAGGAGTCACACTCACTCTCAAAGGTGGAACCACGGTCTCCCACTCGCCCTCCATCGACTACTTTGTGCATGTCACCGCCCCGGTGCTCGCTCGAATGGGCCTGGTTGTCGAGACGGAGGTCCTGAGTCGAGGCTTCTTTCCCCAGGGAGGGGGACAAGTCCAGGTCCATGTATCTCATCCTCTCTCTCCTCTCCGCCCATTGAACCTCACGGACCCTGGTCGTCCCCAGCGTGTACTAGCGTTTGCAACTGGCATTGTAACGGCTGGGAGCGGCGCAGATAAGCACCTGGTGGAGGGGCTCGGGGATGTGCTGGGTAATGTGTTGGAGGAGGTTTTCGGCGGCCAGATAGCCATTGAGTACCGAGACAACGTGTGGAGACAGGAGCCCTTCTCCGGGCGGGAGCAAGAAGGGGGAGGAGGCGGCGGGCGACGTCAAGGGTTCGCATCGAGAAAACGGGCCCGCGGAAGGCTCAAGCGTGAGGTCTTCCACCTCCTCTTGGTCCTAGAATCGACCAGCGGATGCCGTCTGGGCGCAGACATGTTGCTGGAAGATTTGCGGCAATTCGAAAACCACACCAACGGGAAGCCTGATGGGTCAGGAGATCATAACGGCCACAGACATTTTGAGAAGGAGGGTGAGCAGCGACGCGTCTGCTCTGAACTCGCCAGCACCCTTCGCAAGTGTCAAGCGGCGGGAGCTTGCGTAGATGAACACACACTTGATCAGTTGGTGATGTACATGGCTTTGGCGCAGGGTACCTCCCGTGTGCTTGGGCCGCCACGATCATTCTTGTCTTCGAATCATGTTGCGACCGCCATCCGTATCACAGAACAGCTGCTCGGAGTCAGCTTCAAAATGTGGAGTGACAAAAGTTATGGGCCTTTGACTGTTGAAATTGCGCAAGGGCATGCTTTCACTCCAGAGACGTAGTGCTAAATGGGAGTCTTTTCCCGCGAAATAAAGAACAAAGATAAGAAGAGAGCGCTTGTTTTTTTTCATGGGTCTGTTGCGTAGATTGAACGCTTCGAAGGAAAGCGAAGCAATTTTTAACAACCGCGTCTCTCTTTTTGACGTCCCCCGGCCTCGTACATTCCCCGTGTGGTTCTGTTTGAGGCTTTTCATCAGCGCATGCATCGAATGAATGGGGCGGAAGCAGAATGACTGTGGCCTCGCAAAAATGGAACCAAAGGAATGTAATCACTTCCCTGCGAAAGTAATTGTCTTTCGTTGCGTGATATAAAGTATCTGGTGCTCGTTATCGTTTATTATAGCCGTTTTTGACTATTTTTTCAATGACTTAATCACCCAGATGGTTCTGCATTTTCTGGTATTACCTAGTGGACTACGTAGCAGGACCATCCCGACGGCCGGAACAATACAATGTCGATTAAGTCAAAGCCACTATATGAAACCCATGCGGAGACTGAAGGTAGAGAAAAGCAGGGTTCGATGCGCAGTCACTCGAAGATGGTTTTTCGGCCGGCCTCGCTCCAAATGGCTTTAAAAAATTTTCCGACCGACCTTTGAAAAATGCCATAACCCTCATAAACGAGACCACACGCGCATGGACCGTGGAGGTCTCTGTTTGCGGCCCCCTCGCAAGCGATGAACCAAAAACATCTACAGTGTATTTGATTAGCTTCAAAAAAGAGGCTCTTGTTCTTTGTACTTGTGTGCCTGGGACTAAAACGTGAATTGTTTGGTTTTGATCGGTGCCCGATGTGGGACATAAGTATGTTACTCTTCTCCTTGTCGAAGTGAAGTACATGTTGGCGCTATATGTAAGGGTGCGACCGACATGTAGGGTAAAAAAGATGATTTCTCGTGCTACGTTGCAGAGAGGTCGCGCTTAAGTGGACACTATGATAATATTTTTCGACTCGCGTCTCTCGCTTCTTGTTGAAACTATGATAGACACCATGACCGCTCTTTATTTTTGTGATGGCTCACATCGACAGAGTTGCATACCACAAAGGAACTATAGAGGACGAAGGTCTGATAGGTGGCCGGTGAACCAGCGCGGGCTGCATTGGTTGTAATTTTATCCAACTATGTCTTCGCAAAATGGCCTTTTCATGCTCCTCCCACGCGGTCCGGTCTGGCGGAGCGAGGACGTGAAAAGCATGGTTGGCTTCATGGACGAATTCAATCGTCGGGCGGATGAGGCAGATAGTTTTCAATTACTGGAGACCTTCAATTTCATCGTTGAGGCAGTGGGCATCGACGCATGTGTTGAAGCACTTGATCAAGTCAAAAAACAGCAGCAAATCCAGCTAAGTCAGCAGGCCCCTTTCCGGTGCGACTCGAAAAGCACGTCAGCACCGAAAGAAGGGACGTCGATGGATGCAGTAGGTGGTCCACAAGCACATGAAGTGATGCAAAGCATCACGCACTCCCACGCGGGAGGCAAGGGCCAGGGTCCCCCCACTGCTGTTGCCGCGTCGGAGGCGATAATGGCTACGAATGGTACTGGTGCCAATCACGAATGGAGCGACGCGGGGGTGGTCGCAGCCACGGTTTTGCACACTGTCACACCCGGTGAGAGTAATCCTCCGTGCTTGTCTACCTCGCAGCTCGACAAGGGCGCGGCCTTGCCCGGCACCGCGACCCAACAAGGAGAGGCTAGCTCGTACATTGGAAGCGAGTCTTCCACAGCAGCCACGGCCACTACCTCGGTCAGCTCTTCTCCAAGTGCGGGCGACAGGCCCTTTCCTATGCTCCAACCGGCCACGCTGTCCTGGGCAGGTGTCCCTCCCGTGCCCAGCTCGGTCTCCTCCCTCCCGGACTCGGCCGCGCGAGTGCCGATGGACCCTGTCTCCTACCCTTTTGGGAGCGTGACGGGACAGCTCCCCTTCCATTCGGGAAGGAATGGGGGAGATGCTGTGGACGAGATGGGGGCTGCGAGGTCAGAGCCGAGTCTATTCGGACAGCCCCCTCGACGCTCTCTCTCGACGTCTGTCCCCATAGAAGCAACGGCCTCCCAAGGCCTGGTCAGCACGTTGGAGGAAGATGGATACATACCCACTCCGCGCAATGACGGGCCTTGGCACTACTTGGGCACCTTGCCCGAGTCGAACGCATCTTCGACCTCGGCCTCGGGGAGAAGAGGCACGGAGAAGCTGACCGGAGCCGGCTCGGGTGCGCTGCCCAGCACCAACAGCGTCTCCAGTGCAGGAAGCGACGACGACGGCAGCAAGCACCGTCCTGCGGCCATGAACTTCGGGCGGTACGGAGACCACCTCCCGTACAATGGGCGCAAAATATGTCGGGTCAAGAACTGCGACGGGAACCAGCGGTGGCCTGACTACCTGTGTGGGCAGCATGGAGGAGGGCGATGTCGGTGGGAGGGGTGCTCTTTGTTCCACCAAGGGATTAACAGCATGGGTCTGCTTTTGTGCGGCAAGCACTGCAAGGCCGTGGGAGCCACGTATCGCCGCCCACGGCCGGCTGCTCAGAAAACCGAGCGCGGGAACGGTGGAGGGTTCGGCAGCACGACTCGCAAGCGCCGATGAGGAAAAATGCCCAAACCACGTTTCTGTGCACAGGGTATGCAGAGAGGGGACGAGGAAGAAGTGAAATAGGGAAATCGTGAGCTGCCAGATTGCCACTCCAATGGCAAGCAACATCTTGTAGATCCGTGTGTCTGTGGTTTAGCTCGATGAATATGCATTTTGCAGAGGAATTTCTCTGTGTCCGGCCCTCACTATTGAAATGGTCAATTTCTGGCATGGACTTTCGCGTGAGAATTGCGAAGACTTGTCTGTCTTTGCGCTACGACGAACTCTGCCCGTCAAATATTGGACCTTTGAAAAGAATAAATGTCAATACTTTTAAGAAACCATAGTCCTCCAGAATCCCCCTCTGAATGATATGTGATTGATCACGCCCCGTTCAACTTTCTCAATCTCCCTTTTCCCGCATGAACAAGCGATCATTCAGAAACAAAGGATTATTTCTATTACACTTCTGACTGCTATCGATTCAAAAGATGTCTTTACTGCACAAATTTCTTTTCCGCGCCGTACCCTCGCCTATAAGCGCGATAACAAGGTTTTGTTGCCCTCTCTCTTCATTTCTTCACCCTCCGGCCCCTTTTTCAGCACATGTCCTCGTGAATCCCCCATCGTGTCCTGCATCCGTGCGCATGCCTGCAAGAAGTCCACGCACAAATTTTCGGCCCAGCTAGCAGTTTTTGCCTGTCCCCCCCAGCCGATGTGCCCGCCGCGGGTGGTGGTGACGAGGATGACATTCGGATTCCTGCTCGCCCGCTCGATGGTGTGGGTCAGGGCCTCGCGGCTCACCAGTGGATCGTCCAAAGCGTTGACGCCCAACAGCGGGACTTGCACATGCCTCAGCCATTCCGAGCTGCTAGCGCTGGTCATGTAATGCTCCAGGTCCTTCCACCCGTTCAAGGGGACTGTGATGTTCTCATCGAGGTCGCGCAAGGTGTGCATACTTTCCAGTGGCCGCTGCAGCGCTTTCAGACGATCCGCCAGCTGCGCTCTATGACGTCGCACATACTTCTTGTACTCATACGCGACCAAAAAGGAGTAGATCCACGCTGGAATCCGGCGGAGGCTGCGGGGCTTGCTCGTGTAGTGCAGAGACTCGAGGTGGGGATGGAAGGCCCACGGATTGGAAATGGCGACCGCGCCCAACACTCTCTGCCGCACCCGGGCCCCTTGCTCTCCCAGATACTTAACCATAATGTTCGCCCCCAAGGAGAACCCCACCAGGAACAACGGGGCGGCGGGGAAGCGTGCACAGATCGTCTCAACGGCCAAGGCCACGTCTCCTGTGTTGGCGGCGTCGTAGGCTTGCGCCGATGTCAAGGACAGGGAGCCGCATCCCCGGTAGGTCATGCACACTGCACGCCAGCCCTTTCGAGTACATACAACATGGGCCAGATGCCGCATGTAGGGGTGTTGGCCGCTGTCGTTGACGCCGTGGAGGATGCAAACTATGGGCCTGGTTCGCAAATCCTCCGCCAGAGCAAGCATATTCTCAGGGCTTCTCGCACTCGCTTCCAACGAGTCCGACACGCGCTCATTTAACCATTCGAGAGCAAAATGTCCACCATCGTCTGCGTAAATTAGCTCACGCGTGCATGGCAGGCATGGGGGCTGAGGGCGTAGATACCCCTGGAGGGTGGAAAAATGACCGTTGTGGGTTGCCCAAGTGCTCTTAAAGGCTGACTTGGCGTCCAAACTCAAAAACACCATAATGATCTCCGTCATTTCATTGCGTTGTGCGTAAACGTGAACCTCGTCTTT